TCGCCTGTTAGCAAGCAGGCAGCACAGCAAAGTTGAGTAGCAGGTGAGCAAAGGAAGCTTCACCTGTATATAAAGCCTCTCCCCTCACTGGCATCACCACCTGAGCTCCACCTCCAGTCAGATCAGCGGCATTAGGTCCTCATAGGAGCGTGAACCCTATTGTGGACTAAGTATGGGAGGGATCTAGGTTGCGTGCTCCAATGGGAATCGAATCCAGAAACCATCATTCACCCTACCTGCCATGGTCTTCCACAAAACCAGTCCTGGGTGGCAAAAAGGCCAGGGACCACTGCTATTTATCACTCAATTTCCCTTCCACACAGCATGTGCAGCACACCTGACCTACAGCTTGAGAAGCACAGGCTCACCCTGCAAGGCTTAGAATTACAAACAGCCCTCCCAGACTTTCCCAGCAAAGTTGGAATTCTTACAAAAAACCAACTGGTCACTGCTGAAGTAAAAAGGAAACAGGGCCTGGGGTATAAGAAAGCACTTGCTTAGCGTGTTCAGGGCTCCTGGCTCGATCCCTAGCATTGCGAAACACGCACATACATATATACACACATAAAATAAACAAAACAATGGATTTGGGACTGTTTGCCCTGATCTTATTAGACACAGAAATATAAATGAATTAACTTCATGCCTTCTCCAGATCAATCTCCAAAACATAAAATCTGGATTATTCTTGCAACTTAATTACCTCACGGGGAGCTTGTACACATCCTTGAGTAAAGGACAGGCTAGTTCTGTTGGAAATAATTCTGGCCCAGTCTAATTCTCCACTTCTATCCACACTGATTTTGACTTTGTAGTTTCTTCTCTTTCTTTCCTTTTAGTTGGAACCATGCTCCTAATCACTAACACTCTCTCTCTCCAGGTTTTACCTCATTTACAGAAAATAGAACCCTAGATCACAGAAAGCCCTATTTCTCCTTCAGCAGTACCATTATTACCAGGTAAACACCATGGGTTTTAATGGTAGTCTATTTTACAAGTGTGTTCCAAGTGAGATGAGATGGATGGGACGGCACCAACATTTTCCACCCTAAGGAAAAACAGTAAGATTTCCTGTCTGTTTAACTGAAGTTGGCACTATCGGAACACTAATGCGGAACAGTCACTTTGAATATCTCAAACGGTTTTTAAGGCACTTATTTTTGTTGTTTAGTTTTTTGAGACTGAGTCTCTCCAAGTAGTTCAGTCCAGCACTGAATTCACTATGGAGCCCAGGCTGTCCTCGAACTCGCAGCAATTCTCTTGCCTCAGCCTCCTGAGTGCCAAGATTACACGTGTGTGCCGCCAGGCCTGGCTCTAAGAGCATTTCTTACCAGCACACCTGTAATCTTTTACCCCAAGTCAGAATGGGTGCTGGGCCAGCTTAGCTACAAACACCTCAGCTGCCCACAGATCTGCCTGCGCAGGGAAACAGGGCATGCTCTGCTGGGGACAGTGTAGCTAAAGCAAGGACCTCTGGAGAAAGAAACCAGCTGGGGCTCCTCAGCTGTCTCTTGATATGGAAGAGCTGCACGGGGACATGTGGGGAACTACCAAGAAGCCTGCATCTCCATGCCCTGAGGATGGGGAACAGATAGTGGCAGAGGACAGAGATACCTGATTTTGGTGAAGTCGTCACAGGCAGAAACCCATCACAGCGAGAGGAGGGAGGCAACAGAAGGAAGGCAAGCTCATGCTCTAAAATGCACAGCAACAAGTTTTCCCTTTGGTGGTGGTGCCCAGATGACAAGTTAGATAACCCAGCCCCGCCCCAGGAAGAAGCCCACAGGGAACTTCCTTCCGTGGGTGGTGCTCCTTCCACAGAAGCCCAGGAGGGCCACACCCCATGGCTCCCACTGGGCGTCTCTGGTGCAACCCAAGGCCTGTGCTTTTCAGAGCTGCAGCCTTAAGGCACAGGCCTTTGAGCTCAGCTCCTGCCTCTGGCCCCCATGAGGTCTGTGGTGCAGGAGATATGACCAAACCCATTCCAAGCCTTCCCTCCCCATCTGTAAAATGGGCAGATGTATAAAATTGACTCTCAGAAGTGACTAGGAAGGAAAGGAAATAATTTATGTAAAGCGTTTAGGAGGGTATAAAAAGGGCATAATACTCATTATTTGGGGGGGTGGGGTACTGGGGATCGAACTCGGAACCTTCTGCTTGTAAGGCAGGCAGCAGCACCACTGAGCTAAATCCCTGGCCCCATAATACCATTATTACACTAATTCAGTCTCAAATCCTTTTAGTGTCTGTCTGTCTGTCTGTCTGTGTTGGGAGCAATGCTACATAATTCTAGGGAAAAATCATTTGAGTAGGCCTAGTTCTCCTGCCTACAGGCCAGCTACGACATTCCACACAAAATTGCATTTTGGCCTCAGGTCACAACTGAGACCTCAGTGATCCCATGATGCTGTAATACTCCAGGACAAGACCACACCTTCAGGAGACGCCAGGGAGGAACCAAATCTTCATCTGCATAGTTCCTCATTGTTCTTAGATTTCCACTGCCCCCCAGTCTTTTTACACCTTGTTTATCCCAATGTGAAGTACTGAACTCTGCATTTTCACTTCTTACATCTGTCGCCCCATGTACTAAATAAAAAGTGCTACAAGCTAGGGGGCTTTTGTCTTTGCCGCCCAAAACAGCACTGATCAGACCCAAAGTTCAGCTTCTTCTCAGTCTCATTTGTCTATCTTTCCTGTAATTTGCCGTGTGCTGCCGTGGCTCGCAGGACACTAGGACTTACTGCAGAGGTTCTGGTAATGTCCCCTTCCCCTGTTCCCTACATGTCTGTCTCTGTGTCACTCTCTCTCTCTCATGGAACTCTCTCATGGAACTCTTACAACATCACCCAGAAACTCTACAACATTCTTTTCTGCTGAAAGGAGGACAGAAAGGCCATGTAATACGAGAAAGGGGAGGCAAAGGAGGGAGTGAGAAGTCACTGGGTTACAAATTCTAGGTTTGCAAGAACCTGAGCAACTGACTTGCCTTCCTGTAAAAGCCATGCTGCCTGAGTGAACTGGAGAAGCAATGATAAGGGAAAGGAATAAATATGTGCGTGTGTGTCACAAGGAGCTAAGAGCAGTGCAAATATTAGGACAAGGACATTGGGAATGTCCACCTGTAGTAGGGAGAAGGTGCTATAGAAAACTGGTCAGCAGAACCTCCTAGCAAAAGTGTTCTTAAGCAGTGCTTAGTGGGATGGGTGGCCAAGGGGACATGGAGCCTGGATCACAGCGCCTGCAAAGGGCTGGGTACAATCTGAGTGAGGGACACGTGTAGGAGCTTTGGTCAGAGAGAAAAGGGCACATCCAGCAACATTCACTAGTGCGTGACAGGGGTCTCTCAGGACATTTTTCTGCAGGAGACAGTGGCTTAACTTCTGGGGTGTAATGAATTTGTGATGATTCCACTTAGGAACAGGAGAAGCAGCATCTATGTTAGGTCCTGCTCTGTTCAGTATTTTATCAGTTACTTACAGTCTCAAAGGCCATGCTCATTAATTCTGCACATAACTGTGCACAAACTATGGTTACCAGGATCACGGCTCAAAACAGCCCCCAAAAGACTGACCAAAACTCATAAATACTTCACAGGCACAAAGTGCTTGTGGGAGAAGAACTGACCAAAAAGCTCCTCCATGCAGAAAGGAATCAATTCAACTTTCAAGTAGTTCATACCCAAAGGACAGGATACAGTAAGAGTCAAGAATGTTGAGCTAATTATTTAAAATAAAAACAAATTATGAAGTTAAATCTACAGCAACAGAACAGTAACAGCTCAGTAGCAGGAAAGACACTCTGTATGAGCCAGAGGCCTGGGGACACCATGCTTAGTTCAAGGTTCCTCAAGAGGACAACAAGGGGATAGGACTTTGGCCAGAGGGGCACCTGACAGTCACAAGGGCAATTAACATGGAGAAGAGATGCAGGATAGGCAGTGTCTTCTAAGATCCTTGGTCACTTGAAGAACAGGAGGTGAGTGCAAATTTATTCTGTGTGGCTTCAGAAGCCAGAACAGAAGCAGGGTGAATGTCAGAGAGCAGGATTCAGCTCAGTCTAAGGAGGCTCTTTCAAAGGCTTAGAACTGTTCTAAGATGGAACAGGCCACTTCATATGTTACCTATGGCCCTTACCACATCCCAGACACAGCACTAAGCATTTTTAAACCATCACAGTTCAAGCTCCACAACCATTTCTAGTCCAGCCTGGCTACCACACTCCAGGGCACTGTTCTTACACACTGAAACTTGTACATACTCTGGGCTTCTGGCCATTCTGTTGCTTCAGACCCAGCTCACAGCTCACTTCCTCCTCCACAGCCTCCCTCAGGTCCCTGTGCCTTCCCTCTCCTCCCTCACCCCCTCAAGCAGTGCTATTAGGACCTGGGAGGAAGTGGGCTCTCTCTGCAGGAGCTGAGCCTCTCTCTGGGCATTGGGACAGGGAGGCACAGCATGCACACACTGCTCATGCTGGCAGAGAGAAATCAGAACACTGGCCACAGGAATAGCACCTCCCCCCACCAGCCACTTGCAGGAAGAAGCTGGCATAGTGGCAGCCATCGTGCCCCCTGTGGAGGGGCTGAGGCAAGAGAAGCAGAGGGCCAGGAGCACAGGGGACTTCCCATCACTGGAGTCAATGATTTTCTTCCCAGCATTGTGAATACTTCTAAAAAATGTGTCAGTAATGACACCATGCCATCACGTGGCCAAAGGCATAAGGAAACCCTAGATTACAGGTGAGAAATCATACAACATGTTCCAGCTCACAGCTCCTGTGCCGGAAGGCTGAGATCTGAATGTAAGCTCCAAAGCCCTGGCTTCTACCACCCCAAATACCAGGCAGCTCTTCCACTTATTTTAGTAATCACCCTAAATGCATTCTAGAGTCCTTCCCTAAGTTCACCCCTGTGACCAACTCAGAAAAGGCTGGCTCTCCACCCTTGGGCCTCTCTGGGTACATGCATGCTTCTTTTGGTTTCCATTCAGGGGTGGCCTTACCTTCGTATCTGCCAGCAGAGTCACTGGCCTTCTGCGGGGTGGCCACACGCAAGAAGATCTGCTGCCGCCACGAGTGCCGCCGAGTCTTCACGGGGGTCTCCCCCACATCTCCCAGGTGGTCTGCTTTGGATTCAAAATCCCTAAAATTGCAAAGTCATTGGTTTAGGACTGGTGGGGAGGTGTGAAAGGGTTTCTTCCTTTAGCTTAACTTTTGCTTTGTATACAAAGCACTAAATTATGAATTATCTTTGTATAAACAAACAGTTTGATAATCAGAGAAGTTACATCAAGCTCACAGTGGGCCAATACTCCTAAAGAACTGCATTTTTACAGGACACTCTCCACAAGAAGAGCAAGACTGCATGCCTCAAAGTGATTTCTACTGTAAAAGTATTAAGAAATATGCTCCACAGAGCATAACTTCCAATTGGGCTTCTCTTGGTGACACTTTTGAAATAAGAAACTGCCCTAGCCATGTATGAGAATATTTCCTCCACACAGGCCTACATCTCTATGATTGCTACAAATAATGAGAAAAAAGTTGTGGTTTAATTACACAGAACCATCAATGCAATAATTATGCAGTTGCACTTGCTAGGGACGACTACTTTAAAATGCATTTTAAAAACTATAAAATAAAGCGTAATTGTCAGTACATATTAAAATATGAACTAATCACCAATTTTCTTCAGACGTGCACAACCATCTGGCGGAGACCTCTGTCAAGTATGTACCACAAGGAAACAATGGCCCCAACCTATGGCTCAGACTTCCTCCCTATCTAGGAGGCAGCCACAGGCTCACTTGAGAGAGGAGACCACCCCTCCATATGTAATTGGGTAACTATAAGTTAACTGTGTTATTAGGCAACTATGGGTTAACTAGGTGACCATGCTCTTGGTAGAATGTACCTGAGCAGCCATGACAGCTTCTGTAATCTGTCATCAAAAGAGCATAACGGACTCAGAAAGTCCTGCCAGAACTCTTTGCTCCCCCCTCTCCATTGCTCTGCTTTGTGTAAATCCTGCTTGCTATATTCCCAGGGAAACTCCAATGGAATTAAGCTTCATAGAAGTAAAAAGAAAGTATATACGGAAGTGCACACTTCTATTCAGGGATCCTGAAACTGACAGGAGTCACTCGCTGAGCCGCAGGCATCATTAAAAGCTGCTTTTGCTCCTATCTTCATGTTAAAGAGTTATCTGTGCCAGGGTCCTCACTGTTTCCTGCTTCACAATAACCAGCACACTGCTCTCACAGCACTGTTTCAGATTATCTTTTGTCCTCTGAAGATAACATTAATAAACCAGAGAACAGGTTGATGACATGTTTTAAAAAATGACATTCAGTAAAGAAAAAAGAATAAGTTCAGACATACAACAAATTTAGTCAAAGTAATTTTTAAATGGCAAAAGAACACTTAAAATATCCCCATATATCTAGCAATAGTTCAATATTTATAACATCCAGGTTTGATATATCTAAAGTAAGCCCTACCTTTTTGTGTTCATAAAGTCAGAGGTGTTATTCTCATCTACAGGAGCCAGAAATTTTAGAAAATTTGGCACAGAGGAGGAAGAATGAAGTTTTTTCCGCAGGGCATTACGGTACGAGATGCTGAGAGTTTGGTTGAGAAAAGAGTTTTAGGATAAAGATATACAAACACACAAAGTATAAAATACAAACTTCAAAATTAAAAATTTTTTTCTTTGTTCTAATGCTAAGAGCAGTCAACTTAGTAAGAAATAATACATAAATGAGATTTAAACTTTCATTTTCAGCCAATGAAATTTCATTTTAAATGAATGAGATCAATGATTTAAAAAAAAAAATCAGTCTATCTTCCAAAGGACTCTTCCTTTCAAACTGAAAAAAAAAAAGAATTTCTAATTTAATCAGAAAGCTTCTGATACGGCACAAATGGCAGTGTGCATGCTCAATGCAGTGTGCGTATACCCTGGAGCAGGATATAGAAAAGCTTGCCATCAAGACTTTTCATACTTTTACAAGAATTAACAGTAAATTAAGACAGCTCTAATGACAGCTGAAAACAGTAAGAACAAACACGCACACACACAAGCGTGGCTGGCCCTCCCGCTAGGACCTCCTCATGCTGCAGCACATGCTTGGGCAGTGTGAAATCCCCACGAGGACAATCACACTGATCTGGCCATGTGAGCGTGCTCACCTCTTCGGCACAGCATTCCCGCTTTGTTCTCCACTGGAATTATGTTTTAGACATTTTAAAAAGTTTGGTGAAGAGGCAGAGGGGTTAAGATGAGGAGGAGGAGAAGGAGGAGGATGTGAAGGCTGCCTTGAGCAGCGCTTAGACTGGCCCACAGATGGATGGTCCAAGCTAAAGGACAAGTAGAAAAAGCACAGGGGTTAGAGGAGCGAGGGAAACAGGGAACTGGAGGGAAGGGGCCATCAGGGACTGGGAGGGGACTTCCCACCCCTCTCCCTCATCTCTGCCCAGCTAGCAAAGCAGTTTCCAGTAAAAACAGAGCAAGCCAGAGGCTATTCCCAATCCTGATCATTTCCCACTTGTCTGTGCTCCTAATAACACTTTTTCCTGTATTTCCTTTTTGGGAACTGACCGGAAAAAAATTTTAAATTAAAAGAAAAAAGAAAAACTCCAAAGTTTAAAAAAAAAAAAATTTCCCTGGGGCCGGGGACTTAGCTCAGTGGTTCCGCCACCTGCTGCGCAAGCGCAAGGACCCAAGTTCGATCCCTAGTACCAAAAAATAAAATAAAAATAAATTTCCCTTTAAAAGAAACAATATCCTGCCTTGCATTTCAATGTCTTACAGTATTTCCTGTAGAAGAGAGTTCAGAGGGAAAGAAAAAACAGGCCATTCTAGAGAGACAGACAGACAGTTTCCCTATTCCTCCCCTCACCAGTGTCTGCCAGGATCCACTACAAAGCTACCCTCTCAGGGGAGAAAGGACAAGCAGTACAGTCACCACCCGTGTCCTGTGTGCACCCACAGGCTTGGTAAGAAGAGTGGGGCTCTCCAGGTGGACGGTTCTGTTACCACCACAAACACCAAAAGAGAGGAGAGAAGGTGGCAGGGGTGAGGCAGCACAGAAGTGTGGTGCACTCGGGGTGTCAGGAAACACGCAAGAAACTTACATGGCCACGCTTGTCTCTGAAATGCACTTATTAAGCAGCTTCTGAGAATGTCCTGCTCCTGTGATCACAGTTACCCAGCTGAATTCAAAAGAACCATATCCATTTCCAATGGGTCTCTGAAAACAAAGCTGACTGGCTCTCCTATGCCACACCAGGGGGATTAATGTGTCTCTACTTCTCTTGAAACAATTCAGATAGCCCTGCACAGCCCCTCCATCCCCGGCACGGACTACACTCACGTGCCTGGGGGCTTCTGGTGTCACCAGAGAAAGGAAGGCAGGAACCACACACAGGTGTAGCACTAATTCATTCATACAAGGTAAAGGAACTTTAAAAGACTTTTAAAATTATTTTAAAAGATATTTTGCCAGTTATGGTGGCACACGCCTTAATCCCAGCTCTCTGGGATGAGGCAGGAGGATCAGAAGTTTGAGGACAGCCTGAGCAACTTAGTGAGACTCTCAAAATTTTAAAATTAAAAAAAGAAAAAAAAGGAGCTAGGGATGTAGTTTAGTGTAAAGGCCCTAGGTTCAATCCACAGCACCCCCCTACACACACAAAAGACAATTCTGTGTCATTTATATTTATAGTCTCTGGCACTTAGGAGTAAATTATCACTAAAAGAAGAAAAAAAAAATCATTAAGGGACCTAGAAGGAAGAGGAAAAACTTCTGTCACCATATTATTCATCCTTCTGATTGTTTATTTGAGCCCAATTATTAAAATCCGTAAATTTTGTTAGAAAAATCTAGAAGTCTCAGTGATGGAAATTTCAGAAAACACCTGCTCCAAGTCTGTGACACAGAGTTGTTCAGCAGATCAGCCCAGGGCACAGGCAGCTCAAGATAAAAGTCTGCAGGCTCTGGGTCCACGCCTGTGTCCACACAGCCCTCTCCCATCCTGCTGGTGCGCACACCATGGCCCCATCCTGCCGCAGCTCAGGTCTCCAGCCAGCCTCAGGTGCTCATCTGCTCGCCTGCTTCCTCAAGGCCAGAAGCCAAGTTCAGTGTCTCACATGGTCCGAGGAGTCACTGCACAGATGAAGCACTGCTTCTGCTCACTTCCCCTGCTCCAGGCCAACACTCACTTGGACAGGGACCAAGCATCCCCCTGTTCTACACATGCTTTCTAAGAGTGCTGGGAAGAACACCCTATTTTATCTTTTTAAACCAAGAGTAAACTCCAACTCAGGTTTCTTCTCCACCTGGTAGGCACACTCAAATACACAGACCTGGCTAGCCATAGGCATGCCACAGCTATTAACACAACAATTTCTACATTTTCAACAAATCTTACTTCCGTTCGTGAGGTGTCTCTGTGCTCACCGAGTGATACCTCATAAGCTTTCTCTGACTGACTCCTGGAGACCCCTGAGTGGGCTCTGGAGGCGCTGGGCACTGCACAGGGAGGTGGCTCAGAGTGTTGGCTCGCCTTCGGTAGGCCTGCTGTGGGGACAGCGGGGCAGGCTCCTCTGGGGGATGGCTCTCCGAGTCACTGGACAGGTCATCCGAGGAGCCGCAGAGCTTGAAGGAGCTCTCGGAGACGGGCAGAGTCTCCTTGTCCCCCGTGCACAGCTCCTGGCAGGAGACAGCAGATCAGACAGACCACAAGGCAAACTGCAGGGTTATGTGTCTCTTAGCCTTGTACTGGAAGACATTTTAATGCCACCTAGAGACCATCAGGATTATAAGACGAAAAGATTCATAAGATACCTGCTTGTCAGAGACAAGGTACTAGTTTGCTGCAGAAATGAGGAAAGTGCCCAGATGCAAGAATGAAGGGACTAAGCCATGATACATACTGTTCTGAGCAGTGTCCTAAATAGTTCCCTCTCTCCACAACACAGGACTCTTTACCCCTGCTTATAGAAGTCTAAAGAGTGCTGGACAACTTGCCTTGACTATTTAACCGGAGTTCTTTCTCTTTGCCAAGTGTACTCATGTATGCTACCCACATTCAAGGCTCTCTCTGATTCTGACCTATTGTTGAGATTTAACTCAGTAATCTTGAGGTTAAAAACTGTGTCCTATTTTAGTCTTAGAGTATGGAAAATCTCTCTCTAGGCACTTATTGTCACAATTCCGGGGAAATCACTTAACTTCTTCCTGTACCTCATTTTCCTCATCTATAAGACAGCATACTGAAAATTTATTTTACTTTTTCAGGAAGTAAGCAAGAATATGTAGCTGCTAGTACTCTGGATGCTGTAAAATGTTAGGCAAACACCGTTTAAGGACTCATTCACTATTGACTGCTCAAACATTAAGAATCATAATAATGATTCAATAGTGTATGCTTTTAAGACAATGCTTTTTCAAACGAATAAACTACTGCCATTCATACAAACCAATACTTAGCATTGTACCTAGGATACAGAGGTATACAATATTTTTCAAATCAAAAAATATAAAATGAGAGAAAGTGTACCATCTTGTCCCTACTGAAATTGCTAGTAGGGATAAATACATCAACATAAATATAGTGAAAAGGAATGAGTGAATGTCATGGTGGAACGGAAAATCTAAAATCTGTTCATTCAATACAAAGTTGAAGGTCTCTGGGACAATAGATATTCGAGATTTTAACCTCAAAAAATTAAAATTTTATATTAAATGGAGAGTACGCATATTTAATTCTGTAGGAATTATACAGAAAAAGCTTAATTCCCTACATATTATAAAATGTTAATTACTTTCATAATTGTAATTTTTCATTCAAAACTATAGTTTTGAAGAATCTTTTAGAGATTAAAAAATTTGTCTTAACACATTACAGAAAATAATCTCTTGTCACGTGTGGTGATGAACGCTTGCAATCCCACCACTCAGGAGGCTGAGGCAGGAGGATTACGATGAGTTTAAGGCCAGCCTGGGCTACACAGTGAGTTTAAGGCCAGGCTGGACTACAAAGCAAGACCCTGTTGAAAGAGGGGGTAGGGGAGAAGAAATCAGCCTATCTCAAGTAAAGCTATTCTACATTCTTGTTAACATCCCTCCAGATTACTGACTTAATGTAGCTTGATTTGATGACTGGAAGAGCCTCTCACTCAGGTCTTCAGCTTCTTTGCAACTCCCACATGTCCAATTAGAAGAAATCCAAATACATAAAATTCTAATTTTCGCGGCAATTTCTCAGCTCAATATGAAGAAATGAAAGATGTAGAAAAGTGCACCAAAGACAGACTCACACACAGGTTCCTTCAGAGAAGGTGCATCTCTCTCTCAGAATTACCCTAGAAATTGAAGCTATGCATATATCCCCATTTTCTGCATTTTGAAGGATATAAAACAAACAGTAAGACTACTCAAATTGCCAACTAGGGGGACATAAATTTTTTCCTGGTGTCTCTAATGACACTAGCTACCTAAAATCCCTTCTTCCTTGTTCACTTCCACAGGTAATATTTATACTTTCTTCAAGATTTAATGAGAAAACATCATTGCTCTCTCCTTTTCCCAAGCTTTCCTTGGTTCCAAATGTAACTCCCCTTCCCTCTGCACCTCTGACATCTAAGTTACCAGTGTCTCTCCTACCATACTCTATCTGATGCTGGGTGATTTGTGTTCACCACCTTTCTTCTTCTAGGTAAGTTCTTACAGGGAAGGGGCTGGGACTTACTCATCTCCATACAACAGATAAACTGTAACCATATGACATCGACTGCAGGGCAGAATTAATGTCTATTAGATTGCAGCTGGATGCCACTAGATTAGTTTCAGAGGCCAGTGTTGAGGGTCTCATTCCACAAGGGTGCCTGACACCTGCAGATCAGCAGCAATAGGAGCCACACTGCCTTGGGGTTTGCCAGAAATTTAGCATTTCAGGCTTCATCCCAGGCCTACTGAATCTGAGTCTATACTTTAACCAGAACCCCACTCTAGGTGCACCTTAAAATTTAGGAAATATTTATCTAAGAAAGGGTTTCAAGAACTATACAATATAACACACTAGTAGATAGCAGTATCAATGTAATGGGGCTTGCATTTTTTAGACAAAGTAGAACAGAAAATACCAGTCTATATCACATATTATTCAAAGTAAATATTAATTTTGTGGGTTTCTATTTTAATTTTCTGCATCTGTATAGATATGTGCATTTGTGAACAATGTCACAATGTCAAATATGTTTCTTACTGTTGGTTATGATCTAAAAACTTTGAAAGTCACACAACTAAAGAGGGATCTCAGAAGAATTTGCACCAATCCTATGGTGAGCTGGCCTCCATGAAAACTCTTAATTCTTGCATTAGGGAATGTTTCTACTGCAGAAAGCAAAGCTGGCCTCCCAGCACAAAATCTAACCCCACTCCTTGGCAGTGATGAGGTTAAGCCATCCACATTCACATATGCTTATTAAGTGTCTAGGAAGCAAAATATTAGAAAGAGGACGTAGGCCCAGGTTTAAAACCACAGAGAATGGTTGGCTTAAGCACTCTAATTGTCATAATGGCAGCCAAGGGGAATGAAGCTTAGTTGCCTACTTAAAATAATAAGAATAATAATGTTTAATTATAAGCAAGGAGTCAGCTTAGAGATAAAGTTTCAGAAATTGAAGCTGTCTACTTCTCTGAATTCACAAACCATCTTTTGAGGTTCTCCCAATTATAATTACTTTATTAGAAAGTTTCCCATCCAAGCACTAACCAGGCCCGACCCTGCTTAGCTTCCGAGATTAGACGAGATCAGGCGCACTCAGGGTGGTATGGCCGTAGACAATTCCCGGTCCCCCCCAAAAAATATAAAATTAAATAAAATTTAAAAAAAGAAAGAAAGAAGTTTACCAGGGAAAGAAATCCCTTGGTTGCATTATGACAAATTAGATCTTAGTTGTATAAAATTGTATCTTGTTTCTTTGTTTATGGAATGGCCATCTGCTTTTTTATGTAAAGCTTTCATGTTATGGTAACTACATGACCAGCCTTCCACCTGTGGCAAGGAGTCTAGAAGCACCACACTTTTTATGACTAGGGTTATGAGGCTTTTTCTATTCTTTCTGATAACTCTGTAGACAGAAAATGAGCAAGACCTTTTGACTGGCTTGTTCAGGGTGTCATATAAAGAGAAAGATGCTTACTTTGCTGGTGCTACTTAATGTACTAGACATAGAGCTGTCCAGATCCACGCTGGGAGAATGTTCCTGCAGGCCTCTGGCTTTATTACCCTACATAAAGAAAAGGGAGTACAATTATGACCCTGGAGACCTTTAAAACGTCATCAGCTAGAGGAAGCTTGCTTTATTTAAATAAGCTCAAGAAAAATGCATCTACTGAAAAATGCTACTAAATGTACATATACAATTAGAAAAATCAGTATTTCTGTCATCTTTTTTTTTAAGTACCTCCCCACCCAAAATGTTCACCTTGTGGGTCAGTCACCACCTGGCAGTGATGTTGGGCTGGAACAAAAAACAACTGTCTGTGAAGAAAAGCAGCTGTTCAAGCAAGCCCACTCAACTGCTCTCTCCCCTAAGACACACATTGTCAGGACAGCCAGCTGTATGTCACTCAACCAGTATTCTATGCCCACGGGAGCTTTTCTCAAATGTAGCTCCCCCAACCTTGGTCTTGTAAATGGACTATTTTTTATCATTTCAGAGGATGCTGCGAAATTTCAGAAATATCCTCAAACAAAATACATTTTAACTTTAACTAAATAAAATGTTTGTTTCAAAGAAAATTTATTGTAAAATCACAAAGAACTATAATTAGACACTGCAAGCTCCAGAAAGGTGTGAAACTTTGACAAAAAAAAATCAGACTTTGATTTCTTACAAGTGCCATCAAGGCACTCATGGGACAGTGGGGGTGGGAGGATGGGAGGTGATTTTATAAAACAACTATACTGATGGATATGTGTTCTCTGTTCTTCCTACAGAGCTGAAGTTGACAATTTTTTTTCTATAAAGGGCCAGGTAGCAAACACCTCATTTACTGTGAGCCATACAGTGTCTATGGCAAGTACTCATTTCTGCACAAAAGCAGCCTTAGATAACAGGTAAAAGAGTAGATGTGGCTGTGATTCTATAAAACTCTATTTACAAAAACAGAAAAACAGGAGGTGGGTGGGATTTGGCCCAAGGGTCAAATAGTAAACTCCTGGTACAGAGTTCTAGATACCTCAACAGTAGCTGATAGTAACTGGTTTTAAAAGGTGTCCTTAGCAATACTAGCAAGACCAGAACCCACGCCCATTGTATCTAATCTGTGCTCTCCTAGGGACTGACCAAGAAATAACAATGTTTTGAAAGACAAAGCACTTAAAATATGAGTCCAGAATATTTCTTTTAAAACCCAGACCAACCTAAAAACAATTTAAAATGTAGATAATACCAAAATATTTTATAATCTATGAGAAACACTGACATACAGCATAGAATTGAATCTTACGCTCACTTAAACGGTGATTTAGAGCCAGGCATGGTGGCACATGCCTATAATCCCAGGATTGGGGAGGCTGAGCCAGGAGGATCACAGCAAGTTCAAGGGCAGCCTGAATTACATAGTGAGAGCAGACCTTGTCTCAAAAGAAATAAGCAAGCAAAAAAACAGAAGTCATTTTACTTAAGTCAGAAGAAATTATCCTACTTACCCGGGACAAAATACTTTCTAAAGACTCTGTTAAAGACCTCTTTGCTTTGTTTTTCAGCATATCCAGCCTAAATCTAGGAGCATTGGTTGGTAATTCACTGCCAATATTCTCTGCTGTAATCTGTGGTGTCTGGAAAAGGGAAAGAATAAAAAGTTAAGTCACTTATAGCTTCTGGTTTGTTTTGTTTTGTTTTTTAAGAAAATGAGGAATCTCTAGGATGTACCTTTTGAAACCAGGCTGTCATTCTGAATCTGTGATCGCAACCTATCTGCTCCTGAGTGGCATGGCTTCAAATGTGAGAAATCATTTTGCCTTCAAAGGGTTGCTCTGACAATCCAGAGTGAAATGGAAGTATGCTCTGAACCCGGTCAGTAAAAGTAGTTTAGAACTCACAATCTGCATCTAGGTCAGAGATCTGTGGCTTTCCATGTGTGGTCTGGTGCAAGCCTCTTGCCTCTTCTGAGCCTACTTGCCTCTAATCACAACAATGTGTTGTGAGATTAACAGGCAAAAAACACTGAGCTCTAGTATGAAAGTAGCTATTATTAGCTTTTCAAAATAAAGCAATCACTTGGGCCAGGGATTTAGCTCAGTGGCACCATGCCTGCCTCACAAGCGCAAGTTCCTGAGTTCAATCCCTGGTATCAAAATAACAATAATAATAATAATAATAATAACAACAACAACAATAATAATAAATAAAGCAATCACTTACCTTTTGGAGCATTCCAGAGATTAAGACAAACTAAATTCATCAGCTGAGAATCCATTCTGCCTATATGAATCCCTTCATCCCTCTCTACATCTGATTTCCTTTTTCCTCTTTCCCTTCCCTGTGACTTCCATAATCCCTCTCATTTCCTCTGCAACCAGCCCTTCTCTCTTAACTAACTGTAAAATGAAAACAGAAATGTAACACAGTTTGTCTGACACCCACTAAGTGCAGTTTAATGTTAAAGGAAGTATGTTTAAAAAAGACAAAACTAAAAACAAATAAAAAGAAACCCCTAGATTACACTATTTCTTACATGGATTCTCACCTGATTGCTTCCAGCTAGACAATGATTTTGTTAGAAAAACACACAAGCAAATTCCCCACCACTTTTTTTTGGTAGGCAAGGACAGAATTTCTTCCCATTTCACAGATGAGGAAACTAACCCAGCGGCTAAGCTACCTCCCTGCTCTTGGTCCCAAGTCAGTGAGTGACCCAGCTACAACGGTGCCCAGAGATGTCAGGCTTTGGTAACACAATCCTTCCTCTCCCTGCATCAAGCATGGAGTAAGGCCAGACATGCTTCTCCAAACACGTGTGCTAAGGCAAATTTCGTTCTTCTGACAATCAAGCATCCCTGCCAGGCCCTGGTGCAGTTCCATCACCCTTAGGAACAGAAGCCCATAGTGGAGACTGGGAGTGCATGAGGCAGGCAGAACACTGCCATCTCTACCCACTGCTCCTGGTCTGCCCTCAGCATTTACCCAGGGCTTATTCTGTCCCGGATGCTGTGCCTGGGACCCGGCTTGAAGCATACTCAGTCCTCACACAGCTCACATTCTCGTGGGTTCTTCAATCCTCAGGCTGCCAGTAAGAGTCTGGCTGGTCACATTCCAACCACATCAGTGTCTCACGTGGTCCTCACAGTGCTTGATGTTTTCAGTAAGGTGCCAATGGCAAGCCCCTCAGACAGGCATCTCACACAGCAGCCTGCCCCGCCCCACACCCAGGACCCCTGCCCTCCAGCTTGCCGCAGTCTCCAGTGATTTTAGTGTCCACTTGAGATTCATAAGCATTGAAGCTGAAGCAGACAAGTATCCAAACAGGCTTCTTTCAGACAGCACTGAGTAATATAACAAAGGAAATCAGCTGTGATGCCTGTGATGATGGGGGGAAAGGGCTGCTTCAGATGCGGCGGCAAGGAGGATAACTTCAAGGTACAAAGAAACAAAGAACCGAGTTGTGGCCAGCCTGCTGTCAACAGAGAAGAAAAATGCTTCCACAGGGAGGAACCAGCAAGGCACAGGGCCTACTGGAGGCTACAAAGAGCTTGCCCATTCTGGAGCAGCAAGACTGGCATGGCTGGAGAACAGGAAGGGATCACAGAGGGACAGTGAGTTTACACAGCACCGTGCGAGCCAGGGTGAGAATTGTGGATTTTGTTCCAAGAGTGAAGGGAAACCTTTGAAAGGAGTAATATGATGTTTTACACTGTCAAAAGATCAGCCTGCTATGTTGAAGAGCAAATTAACCAGGCAACAAAGGAAAACAGAAGCCACTGGGTGACAGTAAACAGGACCAGGATGGTGGCAGGCTCTGCATGTCACCTGAAGCACAAGCAAAGGGGTTTCTGAGGTGAGGATGAGATGGTGGTGGTGGATGGAGGGTGTCAAAAAAAGGGAGCAATCAAGGACCACGGCAAGGCTGTGGCTTGCTCTGACATTCGACAGCACTGGGGACAACTAGGGCAGGCCCTGGTTTTGGTCAAGAGATCAAGACTTGGATTTTTGGGGGGTTTTTTTGTACCGGGGGTCCAACTTGGGACCTTGTGCTTGAGAGGCAGGTGCCAGAACCACTGAGCTAAATCCCTGGCACAAGACTTGGATTTTTGTTGAATGTATTTTTCCTCAACCCAAATCCTCCAGAGTCCTCAACTCCTGGCCTCTCCCTAGACAAACAGTCCCCAAATCCCAAAATTCAAACTTTTTGTTTTGAGACAGGGTCTTGCTATGTAGCCCAAGCTGGCCTCAAACTCGGGGAAATCTTGCCTCAGCCTCCCGAGTGTTGGGATTACAGGTATATGCTACCATGCTCAGCCCAAAATTCAAACTTTTGAAGAATTTATCCCTTATCAAAAGTATCCCTTCCACTTCCTACCTAATGCCTCCATCCTGATTGCAAACCTCTCTTGACCTTTATCACAGTCCACTGTAGCTATGAATAAACGAAACATGTCTTTATTTTCTCCCTCCAGCCAGCCTTGATGGCAGAGCCCACTTCACATTTATCATCCCTGTCCAGTGCTGTGCCGGTCAGGGTGGGTATGCACATAAGTGATGAGCTGAAGAGGGTTCCTCAAGCGGATGTACCCTTCGGAAAGGCAGGAGCCCCACCTCGAGATAACACTATTCCTTCACAAAATGTGAAGCTGATCCAGGTACCAAATGTGTGAGTCCTAGCCAACAGCGCCTTGCTAAGGAATGAGTTTCTGTGTTTCGAGTGCGGTTTCACCCACAGTTTGAGCCCCACTCATAGCTAGTTGTTAATGACACTGACCATCTTTTCCTTGTCCTCCAAAGTGTGGGGACTTTCTACTCATTTCACATCGGCTCCTCTGGGAAGCAGCCACAGTATTGTTCTCCATTTTGCAAAGAAGAAAATGGAAGGCCCAGAATGAAATCCATTCCATTTCCTTTCTGCTGGAGTTAGGAGCCTGGTCCCGGTGAAGACTCAGCTTACCCTGACCTCAATGCCCCGCTCTGTAACCAGAAGGTTCCCAACATCTCACCCTGCAAAGCTGCCGCCTTGTTCAGGGTGTTCCCAAGCTTCACCTCCATATTTACGAACTTCTCTGGGTGTCAGGGTGCACTGTCAAAAGGTCAAGTTCTCTCACTCCTCTACCACTCTCCTCAGTGCTAGATGAGGACAGACGCCACCTCTTGCGCCCAGGAGAGAAGCACCTTGCTCCTTGGTCCAGGAGGAGTCAGAACCAATAAGGGGAGATCAAGCTCTTAAGTAGCCAAGAATATGTTCAATGGGACAGAGACCATGAGAAAATCAGGGGACTCCTTCCGGAGGGTTTCCACCCAGGAGCACCTGGGAAGAAAGTGGTGGCAGTGGACACAGGTGGCAGGACCCTGCCTGAGCCAGTCACTTCTTTAGGGCACCCAGGCTCTTGAGGGCCTCCTGGGCCTGGGCCAGCTGTTGCTGTAGCCTCTGGTGGGTGCTGTCACTGGAAGCACACTTCAGCAGGGTCTACATCTCCTCCACCACTGCCTGGTGGGCCTAGGGTACTATGGAAGAGCTGCATGGCCCGGTCCCCGCAGGAGGCCAGCAAGTGGCCAGTGACATCAAAGGCCAAGTCAGCGATACACTCCCCATGGACCTGCTCAAAGCTCTCGTCCTTCTCGCCGTGCCGTGTGTTATAGAGGTGAATGCTGGTGCCACTGGCCAAGGCTAAGATGTGGGTGTCGGGGAGAGTGCCAGGTGGCACGGCATGGTACTCGCCTCTTGAAAGCAGCCTGTCCTCAGCAAATAGGGGTCCTGCTGCTTCTTGCATTCCACGTCAGTGTCCCACAGTTTCCATGTGCCATTCTTGGACACAGAGGCCATCTGCCAGGAGTCACTGGAGAAGGCGAAGCAGTGGACAGCTGCCGAGTGGCCCTTCAGTTCAAATGCTCACACAACCTCCTGGAATTCCCCCTTCTTCCCAAAGCAGACTTCCCAGACCTTCATATCCGGAGTGAAGCCACATGAGGCCACAAACCTGCTGCAAGGGGATATGGTAGTGTAGGTGTTGTTCATCCGGTTGGTGTTAATGGCAGACAACACCTGGCCTTTCAGATTCCAGATGAGGACAGTTTTGTCACTGGAGGCTGTCATGATGAACTTTCCTGTGTCAGCAATGCCAATGTTGATGACAGGAGCTTTGTGCTTTTTAGGGAAGTCCTCTGGGGTGGCTGTGAAGGTAAAGCCTCCATCTTCTCACCTGCTCATCTTGAAGACCTGGAGGGTGTCCCCATTGGCCAGCCAGACAATGAAGGCTCTGCAGTCAGGGCTGAAGTGCAAGGTGGTGTGGTCCAGCTCCACACTGGCTCCCATGCTTCGGTGCTCCCACTGCAGGAAATCCTTGGTGCTCCAGATGCAGACCGTGCAACTGTCTGCACAGGTGGCCAGATACTTGCCATTGCTGCTGAGGTCCATGCACAATATGTTCCCACTATGGCTCTGGGTGAAGGGTGGAGGAAGTGTGAACAGATAGCGAAGCCAAACCTGGAGCCCTGATGCTGGATGAGGGTGGGCTAGGCAGAGGAGGGATCAGACGGGACGGTTACTACTTCGGCCAGAGGTAGTGGGGTCTTCAGTGCTGCAGCCAAAAGGCAGTGGGTGAAGTTGTGTTGCTGAGGCTTCTCCTTGCGAATCCACTGCTGCTGTTTCTGCTTTTTAGATCCTGGCTTCTTGGGTCCATTTGTTTTTTGGGCAACAGGCTGGCTGCCCTTCTCCTCCTCCTCAGGACGTGGCCACCCCCGTGCAATCGCCACCGTCACCATCAGGGCAAACAGCCCGACCAAAAGGGACAGCACCATCACCTCCAACATCGCCAGGAGCTCCACAGTGGCTGTGCCGCTGCCACCTCAGCCCACCATGATGCCGGCGGACACAGGTCTCCGCACACGCAGGGGTGGGGCATGCTGGGGCGTCCCCACTACTTTGAATATAGACATATTCTCCATTGTAGTTATACATGTATTTCCAGGATGTAGGAAAGTACAGAGACTACTTGACAAATGCTTTGCCCACCACTGGCTCCAGCCAAGTATCAGGGGCTCTGGAACTCGCGTCCACGGGAAGTGCCTCTCTGCTGGTCCCTACCTATGTGGCCTTGGCCAGGGATCATGCACTGCCCTCTCAGTTCCTTCACCTGCAGCCTGAACTCCCCCCTCCACCACCATCATGAGGCTTAAGAGAATTGGCACACGCTGAAACACTTAGAACACACCAGACACACAGGGAATGTCAGCTATCAGGATTACTGTCTGCACTCTCCTTCCTACTGCTAGTGGGGAACATTAGACATCATTGAAGACTGACTAGCAGCATCCCCATCAGAAAACCACTCTCCTGAATCTGATGTTTATGTATCAATTTGTACTTGCATTTTTATGTATATGAATCCATATGTTACATGTAGTTAATGACATGTACTGAACTTTAAATGAAGGTGGTGTGCTTTACAACTCATTCTGCAATTACTGTTCTTCTTCAGTGCTGGTTTTGAGATTTACCAATGTTGACAAATGTTCTTGGATTCACTCCCTTCAGACAGAGTGCAGTGTCTCACTATATAACCAATTTATCCATTTCCTGTTATTAAACATTTATTCCCTTTTTTACTCTTACAAAAGAGGCCTTGGTGGGCTCTCTCACCCAGAGCTCTTTTTGCATTCATGTGAAAGGTTTTGCAAGAAAAGTAATTAGAATGTCCTAATTATTGGGTTACTGGGACTATGAATCTTTAGCCACACCAGATATTCTCATCCAGCTTCTCTCCCTTAAACAGCATTAATTAAGTTCCAGTATCCATACACGAGCGTTTGCCTTTTCAGCGCATTGTCAAATCTTTCCCATTTTGCCCAATCTGATGGGTATAGGATATTCTCTTATTTCCCTTTTCTGATTCTCACTGCTATTCAGAATCTTTTAATTTTATTCAGTAATCTGCTCGATAATTCTAAGACTCGATAATTTTTTTTAAATAGAAAAATCCTAATTTGTCAATCAATATTGCACATTTCTCAAGGCAAAGAAAAGGTTCTGATAAGAGCTACATTCACCTTCATCCAAGGACCCATGATTTCATTCCTATGAGCATTAGAACATGCATTCACATAACGACTACTAGCGATCATTCACCTTTGTGCTTCCCTAGTACTGAGCACGTGGACTCTGGACTTGCAACTTCTGATTGCCTAAGAGGGAGTGGATAAATGCTGGCTGCCAGGTAGGCCCATGAGGAACACATGCCGGAAGCAACAGAGACACACTCCGCAAATGCTGTACTAAGTGTAGATCACTGAGAGATAGGTGCTCTACAGTTGCGCATTAGTCCGGTACCATCATTTACCAAGAATAAGGGCCTGTCTGGACTCGAGGACGCCTCTGGGGTAAAGGGAGTTATCTACCAAGAACTCTGGCAGGGGGATGCCTGAACTCAGCCCCAGTTCACTGGCAAAGTTAAGTTGCTGTAGAACTGCTTTTGAAAGTTTTTTGCTGTTGTTGTTGTTGTTGTTTTTTGGTGCTGGAGATCGAACTCGGGTCCTTGAGCAGCAAGCGGCGAAACCACTGAGCTAAATCCCCAGCCCGCTTTTGAAAGTTTTCATAACACAAACAAATTGGACTGATAGTTTTGAGAAAGAAAATATTGGCTAAAAGTTTGAGGGAAGCAGTATCTGTTGGTAGATCCTACATAAAAGAAAAACTGCAAGGCAGATACAAGTAGAAATGATAAGCCCTCTAATACTTGCCACTCTCTCATGTACATATGTGCAGGAAGTTAACTATAACTCGACTTATGGGCCTTCACCCAAATTGATTCCTTTTCCACAAGATCTGAGGATTTGTTCAGTTTTTTCTAACTGATGAAAATCAACTCCTCTGACAGCTCTTAGCACTTTCAGCTGAAAAGCATATCCATGTCTCCACCGACTGGTGCAGGGCACTAAGGCAGAAGCTCACTGTCCTCTGTCCACTTTGGAAGGCAGTGGCCAGGAAAGCTTTGTCAAAGCCATGGGTCTCACCTGTTTAGGTCACATCACAATACATTTCCAGAAGCTACCAGAATGTTTAGGTGAAACAAAAGGCAATGAAACCCAAGTGGTTAAGTTATCTGACAGCAGAAAGTATGAGCAGAAACCAAATGGTGACTCTTAAGCTACATCCGACCCATCTCAGAGGAGCTGCTGCTCTGAAAATCCCACTGCTCAGAGTCCATCTGAGTATCCAGCTGGGGAGTCACCAACCACACCTGGGAGGGGGGGTGTCACAGTAATTTCTTTATAGATGCAGACATAAGCCTTCTGGACCACAGAATGCTTAGAAACCCCTAGTAGCAGTGGAGCGGACATTGCTCTCTTTTACATTAAAAAAATCTCTGATGTTTTGAAATTTAAAAAGTTTAAATATTTCTCCATTGGCCTGATCTATGCCCAATTCATAAAGATACTATCGTGATCCATAAAAATGAGTACTCGCTTAGGTCAAAACTTTCCACTTCCACAAATGCTCACAATGTGTAATACAAAACAACTTTTCATCCACCATAAATGCTTCATTCCTCTTCCTAGCAGTTACAAATTATTTCAAAATTATAAATTTCCTGTCAGAAGAAGTCCAACTAACTCAGAAAAAAGTCAGAACAAGGAAAAAGCTATCAGTAGCACAAATAGGGGGAAAGGGGTGAAAAAGGAACAGAAATAATCCCAGAAAATTTAAGACTGAATGAGCCCACCCACGTGTGCATGGGAGGGTGCAGAACCTAAACACTGATTCATGGCCAAGGCTGGGAGGGGAGGGACACCAGCAAACCAAGGCCAAAAGCAAGACACAAGTGATGCACTGGTGTCAGGGTCATTGCTATTCGGGCCCTGGGTAGGCCGGTAAGTGGTACACTTCTATTACCTCAGCACTTTCAGAGGTTGACGCAGGAAGATCACAAGACTGAGCCCAGCAAGTGAGATCCTATCTCAAAATAAACAAAAATGGCTGGGAATACAGCTCAGGGCAAAGAACCTGGGTTCAATTCCCAGCACTGCAGGGAAATACATACACATACATACAAACACATGCACGCACACACACACACACACACACAGATGTTGTACATGAGCTCTGAGAATTCAGAAAAGATGCAGAATTGCCAAAGCTAACCAGAAGCAGAGTTTCCACCTATGGGGAGAAGCTCAGCACTGAGCATAATGCGTCTTTTTCCTTTGGAATAAGCATTTCGAACAGGTTGAAGGAAAACAAGAGCCGCCCAGTTTTGGAAAACTAAGGAACCTGAACACTCTTCACTGATTTTCTGAAGTTAGCTTTAGCATATACACATGCATTAATGACAAACTGACTTACAGGGAGTCAAGAGCAAGTGGTCCCTGTGGCACTAGGTCTGCTGAACAAACTCAAATCCAGAAGGCAGAGACCTGCCTGTAGCCCCAGCTTCTGACACAGCACCCCACAAATAGCAAAGCTAACTCAAGTTCTGGACAGTAGAAGACAGGAGAGAGACAATAACAACATATAAGTCAGGCTTTCTAATGCTGTATTTAACTTGTCGGTAACATGATCCTACATTAACATAACATTTATATTTTAAAGAAATTCTTGTATTTTACATAATTTCAAAGACAACCATATAATGTCATTCTCATTTTTCACGGGAGAAAGGAGAGGTGACAGAGACTGGTTCTCTGCAAGTCACACAGCTCTTAGCTTAATTCTTGGTGCTCTGTGCCACATTTCCAATAAGAGCAATGGCTCCAACCATCTGTGATGTAGACAGACACTCTTTTCATCTTCTTCAACCACAATCTCAACACTCCTAAATTTTCCTTACCTGTGCAACAAATGAAAATAAAACACACAGAGAAAAAGAAGTTTCAGTGCTTCAGAAAGCCCTCAAATCTTTGTGCATATAGTGGGTGTCCTAGTAAAAAGTTTGAAGAGACAAAAGTGCCATACCTGCTTTATCTCTCCAATATGGATGTGTTCTTTTTGCTTTTCTTCATATATACATCTCAGAAAAGAAATAATCAGTTCGTTCTCTCGCTGCTCATTTCTTGGTCTCAATTTCTTTTAAAAATAAAGAATAAGCAATATTACATATCTTTTTAATTGTCAACAAAATTGCTAAAACACCTTTGGAAGTGCTACCAGCTTCCATCTACCAACTATAGTAGTGCCTTTCACCCAGTTCTCTCACTAGGGGGCACCAACAATCCTAACAGTGAAGACGATTTTTTTAAAAAGGAAACTGGAGCCAATGGGCTGAATTCATCTTTAATGTCCTTTTATCTAAAATAAATTTTTAACATCAGATGAAGACAGTTCAAACATTTAATAAACAGTTTTTAAAACAGAAGAATCAAAATCTATGTAAACATCCAGAGGTCAGGAGCCATACTAAGCACACATCATACTAGCTCTTACGGCTAGCAAACTGGTAAGGAAGAGCAACTGGGCTCAGGGTTGTGGTTTCACATGTCAGATGTGTTCATCAGGAAGGACTCTGTGGAATCCCCATGAGGCATGCATTTCAATACAAAATTTCACAGCTGGTTCCCCGCCCCCCCCCTTCCCTTCTGTCCGCCCACTTCCTCCCTCCTTTAAATCCTCTCTGTGCCTTTTAATTTTTTTGACAGGGCAGTGGCAAAGTACATTGGACTAGAAATCAAGACAAGTATGTTCTCGCTGTTGACCAAAACCAGGTCATTTATCTCAGCTCTCTCCTCTGTTAAGATGAGGGTGTGCACAAATAAACTCCATAGTATCCTCCAGCTTCCAAACTTGCTAGATTTGAAATATCAGTCAGGGTCCATGTTTGTAAGGTCATCTAATTTAACACAGTATTTTGTCTGAATGTGAAGGAAACAGAACAAATTTCTCTGGAGACACACAAAGCATCTAGTCTATAAACTTCTGAAGTAACTGACAGCTACTCACTGCTGGGTCCTCTTCTTTCCTTAACTCTAAACTTCCAACCTGCCCTTTAACAGAGTTGGGCTGCAGCAAACAGGTCAACTGCTCAAGGTGACAACCACCTTCTCTGGCCAGGTGAGGAACAGTGGTATAACCCTTCACCTCACAAGCAGTACAAGCAAAGGAGCCCTAATCCAGAACCTCAGACAAGCCCTTCTCTTAGAGGATCGTTCAGAAAGCAAGCAGTTCCTGTTACTCAAGGAAAAAACAGTCTATGATTAGGAGGGTTTGTGTTCATTGAGGACTTCCTGCTCTTTTTCAAATGTTTTACAGTCGAGCAGACTTTCTCAACCTGAACTCTAGGCCATGGATCCTAATGTCAACAAGATTTCACGTCACAGGCAACACCTGAATATTTTTCTAGAGTGGATTTCCATTAGATCCTCAAAAAAGGAAAATGGTATTCAGATACTACAATTTCAACTTAAGGGATAGATCTCAAGAAGGTTATGGGTATTCTGAGTCTGGAGATCCACAAAACAATCAATAGGAACTCTCACTCATTCATTGCCAGTGAAAAGACAAAATGGTGCAGCCACTGTGGAAGACAGTTCGGCAGATTCTGACTCTTACCACAGGACCCAGCAATCCCTGGCATTTATCCAAATGAGCTGAAAACATATGTGCACACATAAACCTGCACACGGATATTTACAACAGCTTTATTCATAACTGTCAAAACATAGATGCAACTAAGATGTCCTTTTTTTTTTTGGTACTGGGGATCAAACTCAGGACCTTGCGCTTGTGAGGCAGGCAGCGGAACCACTGAGCTAAATCCCCAGCCCCTAAGATGTCCTTCATAGGTGAATGGATAAACAAACTGTGGTACATCCACAGAATGGGATATTATTCAGCACTAAAAAGAAATGAACTACCATATCAAGTCACGAAAAGACATGAGGGAACTTTAAGTGCTTATTACTAAGTGAAAGAAGCCTACCTCAAAAAGCTACATACACTGTGATTTCAACTATTCTGCATGGTGGATACATTATTGTGCACTGTCCAAACCCCTACAAGGAACCTGAATGTAAACTCCAGACTCCCGAACATTAATGTAGCAAGTGTACAACGGTAGCTCATCAACTGTAACAAATGTATACTACTCTAAGTTGTTTCATTATCAATACAGGGAAAGTGTGGAGTAAAAAGCAGTGAAAGATACAAGGGACCTCCATTTTCCACCTAACTTTTCTGTAAACCTTAAACAACTGCTCAGAAGCTATGGGTGTAGCTCAGTGGTGAAGTGCTTGCCTAGCATGCACAAGGCCGTGGGTTTTATCCCCAGCACCAAAACAAACACATAAACAAACAAACAAAACAACTTTTTAAAAAAATGGAGTGGTGAGGTGGGGGGAGTCCAAGGAAGCTAACAGGAATTCAGGCCTTGGAGCCTCTACAAAAGCAGCACCTACAGGTTGACCCATTCTTTCCTCTCCTGTGTTTTTAAACCTTGGGGAACGTTCACAGGAAATATGGTTTGTTTGGAAAAATTCTTCATGATTGTTTATTTCATGCAGCAAGCATGCGGTATGGAGGAGTGCTAATACATGGTCCCTCAAGATATACATGAAAGAAACTATTCACAGAGGCAGCAAATGAGCTGACAGCACAGTACATCACCCCAGCTGGCACCCATTAAAAGTTGAGGCCACAAACCAGAGTCTGCACACCCAGAGCTCATTATACAACAGGATGTCACTAAAGTGGCAAAATGCATGTCTGTGGTGTTGTAAGGCCAGGAAAGTTTTCCTCAAAATAATTCTGCAACATAATGAGAGGCTACTCCCCAACTCAGCTGGGTGACTTTACCATCAACAGTGGCAAATCTTTATTTCTTAAAACTGACTTAGTTTTATAAACATTTGTTAATCAGAGAGACAAATCCAAGGAAAATAATGGTAAATCGAGGTGTAGCATCACGTTGTAGTCAAAAATGAACTTGTCTATTCAAAATGATGTCACAAGTCAGGACGGCATTCACAGGAGGCAATGATGAGGTAGGCTTCCTCACACCAACCAGAAAGCCCCTATTAATCTTGGTACTGGCTGCACAGGTATCCCCACCTTGTGAGAACTTACTGACCTAGGCTCGGAATGGTGGTGTATGCCAGTAATTCCAGATCTCTGAGGGTGAGGCAGGAGGGTCAAAAATTCAAGCCCAATCTGGGCAAGGGGCAATTACTGACTTAACTAGACCCTGATTCAAAAAAAAATAAAAATTTCAGTCCCCAGTACTGAAAAGAAAAAAAAAAAATCATTGAACTGATTTGTATACTTTTCTGTAGGTATAATTCAATTTTTTAAATTCCAAGACAACTAAATGCCTTCCAAAGGGAACAGAAACAATTTTGTCATTTTTTTTAACCTAATTTCTATAAGGGGCTCCTAAAGTGTTGTAAAGGCAACTGAAAAATAAATTTACAGCATTGATGATGAATATCAAAAGGCTGAAAGTCGATGGTGTTCCCAGGAAACTACTTAAAAAGACAATGCCCACTTGCCTACTATATTCTGATTATCTTTTTTTTTTTGGTACCGAGATCGAACTGAGGACCTTGCACTTGTGAGGCAGGCAGTGGCACCACTGAGCTAAATCCCCAGCCCTCTGATTATCTTTTTTTTTAAAAAAAAACTCTAACCAGGTCTTACATAAGGATAATTTCTAAACCATGGAACCAAGTTGATACATAGTTTTTACAAAGTGAAAAAAAGGACCTTCGGAGCACTAATCCTTATCTTGTGAAAAATCATGCTATTTAATGAATTACTAATGTCTACTGGGTATTAATCTACTTGATTTATCTGTTCAGGATTTCATTAAGTTATTACCTGAAATACACTCATTCTGATTAGTAGACTCAGACTTTAAAACTTATTTTTAAACTAGCTTTATTTCAGCTTGAGAGCGGCTCTTTGTGACAAGGATGACAGCATGGGTTTGCGCCCTGGGCCAGCCGGGGAGCAGTGGGAGAGGAGAGTAAGACCCCACCAGGTCATCTGCATACACGTACGCCCAGCGAGGTGCGCATGGCAATTACACACTTCCAACAGTGCACAAACGAAAGGAGGCTCTGCAGGGCCACGAGTCCTCTTATGAGGAGAGGGCTGAACAGGGCCACATGCCTGCCCCGCACCGTGTTCTTAGGAGCTCAGGTCAGTGATCTTGTCCTGCACCATTCGCAGCTACTACTGATTTCCTTTTGCCTATGGCTCTGTGTGTATTGTAATTTTTTCTCTTTTTTTTGCATTAAACATTCATTTACGAAAACACTGACTATGGTTATGTTTTCATAATTATTTAAGTACTCATGTACCATTAATTTTAACAGCAATTACATTTGCCTTAGGGGAGTTTTTCAGAAACAAATTACCCTCTAAGAAAGACTGCAAAGAAAAACATTTACCATTCTATTATAAGAGGACTCATAAAACAGCAAGCCATGTTTTTATGGCCTCTTTAAAATGTGTGGTTTTCAAATACATTAGCAGACACAGCTACCTAAAAAGAAACTGGTAGCCTGATTTAAAAAAATATCTTAGTAAAACCAAGATTAGGGCTGGGATTTAGCTTAGTGGTGCTGCCGCCTGCCTCCCAAGCACAAGGTCCCAAGTTCGATCCCCAGTACTAAAACAACCAAAAAAAATAATAAAAAAAAAAACCCCAAGATTGGTTATTGAGGAAATAATTCAGCAGATCTATCAATGAACCATTAGAAGATCAGTGTCCAACATGAATCATTCAAGAAAGAGGCAACTTATGATGAACAGCAAAGTATATACTAGGTTTTCAAAGTCAATGAACAATATTACTTCTTTCTCAGTTCAAAGAAAATACAAACAAAACAGAGATGTCTAGAACAAAACATTGAGCCCTGGGATATTAACTGCTTTTGTTTTAAGCAAATTTTGTCATCTGCTTTTTTCTAAAGTTTCATTGCCATGTGTGTTAAGTGTCTTAAAACCTCCATGGAAGAGACAGACTCTCAGAATCCTATCTATGAGAACTCTTCCTTGCGGCAAACTGTCTGCTGTGTGCCTATACTGAGCCACCTCGCTGCTCCAGGAAAGTTGCACAGCGCTGTCTAAATGACAGTGCAAAACCACATTAGGGAAGGGGTGCATCACTATGCTTGCCAGGAAGACACTCTCCTCAGTGACTCAACAGCTCCACACCAGGAAGCGGATCCGCACCTGGCACTCTGCCTTTGATTGTAAATGCATTAACAATCAGAAGCAACGTGCCCACTCCTGATCCCAAGTCTAAGAGGTCAGAGATCTTTAAGGAACCTTTGAGAAAAGGCAAGGCACTGAGTGAACTGATTCAGAAAATAAGAGAACATAAAATCAATTGAAAATTGTGAAAAATACTCCCTTGTCCAGTGATGAACCTTTTAGAGCTTCGATGAAAACAGCCTGCTGTGCCCCACACTGCGCAGGTCTGCCACCACTGCTCTAGTCCATATGTGAAACTTTTTAAATCCTCCTGTGCTTTCTTTCTACAAGTACAAATGCACAAGAACAAAGGAATGAGAGAAGTACTCTAACACAAGTGTAAAGACAAAAGGATAATCCTTTAATTTTTTTACACAAACAGAAAACAGATCTTGGGCCTCTCGTTAGTCTTTTCCCAGTGAGGGGGCAGAGGGAACTCAATCCTCAAGCTGCGAGCCTTGTTTTGTTTAACCACTCCTTTGTGTGCAGAATCTGCTGGTCACCAGCACTCCACCCCTCAAAAAAAAAAAAGAAGAGATTTATTCTTTATTCTGATTTGCTCTCTTTCCTAGAAAAGTGCCACAGAACCACAGAAAATGCCCCTGGGCTAAAGCAGACATGAAATTTGTGATGAGCTCATTAAAGATTCATGATGAACAGACTCTAACATGCCAGCACCCATGGCACAGTTTCCCTGCGATGCACAGAGGCGCCACACAAGCACCAGAGCTGGTTCTGAAGCTTAATGCAGAAAGTTGAGGAACCTGTTCATGGTGGTGGTGGTGGTGGTCATGGTGGTGGCTGCCTTTTTCTCAGTTTGATAGGTTATATGGTTCTAAACCTGCAACATGGCCTAAATTTATATTTCAAACAAAAAATTAAAAAAAGAGGCAGGCATTAGAATTGTGTTCATGTGCACGCCCAAATGGATTCAGGTGTCTCATGCGACTTCCACACTGCAGGCTGAAATCCCAAGTAGGAAGGGCAGAGCAAGTGTGTGGACCAGAGTCAGGTCTTCTGTCTCAGTTTCCTTGCTCTGAGTCTGACATATTTTTAAGAGGAAGGCATCTCTGTATCCCCCACTCTGAGGACTGAAGCTGACACCTGACAGGAATGGGGTCCTGCAGTTCTCAGCTCACCCTTCGAGGGGACTCTTAACCATGACATTGACAGGGCCTGTGGGCTGTGATGTCACTCTGTGAAAACAACACTACAAGGGGAGGCAGCGGCCTTTACTCTCCTGCTAGAAACCACACACTGTGCACGTACCTGCACCTCCTCAAAAATAGTTGCTTGCTCCTGATTAGTCAGTGTCGTCAGGTGCTTCTGGAGTTCTAATTTGGTTTTGGAAGAATTCATTCCTGTTAAAAGAAGGGAAAGAGACGTGATGAAACTATTTACAAACCATGAGGTACAGTTGGCCTCTTCCACGCTCACTCCCTTCACCTCACCCCCAAGTGTAGGCTGTCCAGCCTTTACAGAACCTGCAATAACAGCGTCATCATCTTCTACCTGTGCTCTGATGTGCGAGGCACTGGACAGTAAGCACTGATACTCATCAGTTCATTTGCTCCCTAAACCAACCTGATAAGACAGGGTGCTGTTGTCCCTCTGCCACAGTGAGGGAACTGAGGCCCACAGAGCCTGCAGAATTTCCAAAGCCTGTCCACTAGGACTCTAACTCAGGTTTGCATGATTCCAAATTATTTCCTCCCCATTAAGACACTTGACACAATCAGAATGTTCTCAGAGAATGATAAATTCTCGTGATATTTATACCTGAACATGAAAAGTTTTCCTTAAGGAAAAATAACTAGCACTCACTCAGTTCAAAAATTGACCCACATCAGTCTCGTTTGTTAGGTTCCCTTCACATAAAAATAACTCATGTAGCTAAGAATTCTCCTTTTACCCTCATATGCTTATCAAGTCTTAAGACCATTTCATTAACATTACAAAGAATTGAGGGAAAGTTACAAAAATTAAATTCCTATGTAAAATAGCAGTGCCCATCAGAATGTTATAGTTAAAGAGAAGTTCCATCTCCATGTGAGTATAGTTTAGGTCCTGTTTTGTCTTTTCTTGATGGCCAGAGATAAATGGCACATGAGATGAGAAGACTGACAATAAAGGAATTTGCTGACCCAACTGCCTTGCGGAAAGAGGCTGCTGCGGGTTCCCTTTCCTCAGAGGGCAGCACCCTTCCACCACAGCCATCCTGAGGGGGGACCCCAAGCAGGGGCAGGGGTAGCTCTGGGCCAAAGACCAGAGTGGACACACCTATGGGGCTGAGGATCAAAGGGAGGAAACCCTGCCACGCCAGGGACTTGTCTGTAGGGACTTGGAAATCATAACCTTCATTTTACCGCCAAATTTGCTGACGTCTAAGAATCCAGGCAACTGTCAAAGGTCAGGAGGCCCAGAAGCAGCCAGCCTGGCTCAGCCACTTTTCTCCCTTCCCAAGCAGCTGCAGGCACAGCCTGCCCTCCTAACAGTCCACACTGCAACAGAGACTGCTACTCCAACTGCTGCAGTAATGTCTACTTCCAGAAATCGTTCCTCCCTCTCATTTTTTAACCAAAGATAGCCCTTAAAAATGGCACCATTAAAACAATCAGTATTCTTAAATGATCGAACATTTCATATGTATTATCTCATTTAATCTTCAAATAACTGTTGACATAAGCCCACTTTTCCAGTAATCCCCATGTAAAGATGAAGAAACTGAGGTTTAGCAAAGTCAAGTATTTTGTCCAAGGTTATTAACCAAACAAGGGACAAAGTGAGATTCTGAACCACGTCAGCCTCCAGATACCAGTCTTGGACTTCAATGCATGCCCTGACCAGCAGAGCCAAGTCACCTGACACACAGGTGGTTCAATGCAAAAGTGGCTTCAGAGGCAGGTGAAGGTGCTGGAAGGACAAGTGGGTTGGTCAGAGTGCAACACCCACTCTCCGGCCTGCAGTGAGCTCACAGAAAGCCAGGAAAGTAGATACCAGGCTTTACTGTTTCAACTACTAAAATACTGGAACAAGGTAATGTCTCAATTTATGAATACAATAAGCACTGAATAATAACTAAGAAAAATCCTCCCCAAATATGGAAGACATCTCTGACACAGTCTAAGCATTCTATTTTGGAAATACTATATTGCTTGGAAACATTTGCAAAGAGGAAAAAACCCTCAAGTCTACAAAGAGTGAAACTAAGCATACATTTGGCCTGGCACAGAGGTGCACCAGGTAACCCTAGCAACCTGGGAAGCTGAGACAAGAGGATCGAAGCTTTGAGCCCAGCCTGGGCAACTTAGCAAGGCCCAGTTTCAAGATAAAATTTAAAAAACAGGGCTGGAGATGTTGCCAGTTTGAAAGTTCTAGGTTTAATTCCAAGTCCCACCAAAATAAGGGGAAAAACAGTAAAGATTTGACAACTCTGGGCAAAATCATAAATGTAGCCTCTCTTCATTCACCAGGTATGAAGGATCATCCCACCAGACCTAGCCTGACACAGGGCATTTCAATTCACCAGGTCCTTTCTCCCCCATGTCAAGCCAGATGATCCCACCCAGGTCTCCTCACCTTCAGCCACTCCTGCGTCCATGCTTATGCCACCTCCTCACAAGGGGCCATGTGATGCTGGGGGGGGGGGTGTCAGGGAGCAAGGAATAAGTCAGAAAAAGGTTGTTGAGGGAATCCCCTTGTCAGAGGCTGCTCACATTGCCAGTGGTGAAAAGATCTTACCAAATGGAGCTCTGGTGAATGACTGCTCTGAGAGCAAAAGAAAACCTCAGTCTAGATTTTTTTGAGAAAGTATAAATTTTATCAATCCCTTAAATGCTCTTCTAACTTTAAAAAAAAAAAGCAAAATACAATCTAAATGCAACCAACAGTTGTATAGTTGTACAGCTCAAGCACAGAACAGAGTGAAGCCACCCCCTTGCTGGTGGTATGTGCACATCAGAGTGGCGTGTCTGGTGTCATGGACACGTACAGTGTACTTATTCTGGTTTACTGATTCTGGGGCTTAGCCTGACATGTAGGGGTTGCGAAAACACAGTGTATAAGTCTCCCTTCTTGTGGCCACATCTATGGACCTCTGATGTTCTTCATCAGACAGTAACTTCCTGGTGAGACTATCCTTATTGTGAATTTTAGTAAATCACTTCATTCTACTTATTAAGAAGGAAACAGCAGAAAGCAAAGGACCCCCACACTACCCATAAAGTGATTAGCATCTCAACTGAGGATGCCTTCGATAATGTTCCACCTATACTTCTGGAAACGCATCCATCCTGTAAGTGACACACCTCTCCCCAGACTTTTCCTAGCCTGTTTGATAGCTGGTTTTTACATTAGTAGAGCTTTCTGCTTTAGTTGTTTTGTTTTGTAAAAGACGAATTAAATGATTATTTCCAAAACTACAGCAACAAAATCCCTAGCCTGATTAAACTTTTCAACTGTAACTTTCTGAAAACTCAGCCAGACCAAAGAAAGATTTATCAAGTAGAACTCTGGATGCATTCCAGTTCTGCAGCTCATGAGCCACTTTATCTTCAAGGCCAAAGTCATTGCTGGCTTCTTAATAAACTCTTAAGGGACATTTCTGTCATCATTTACCTTATCTTGACAACCACTAAGGAAAAAGGGTTAGTGATCCCCTCAGTTGTGATCTCTAGTTAAGGCCAAACTTTCCCAGATATATTTTATATAATGTCAGCAAACAGAAACAACTTGGAAATCACAGTCTAAAATATTAATCATGTTCACTTTAAAGAGCACTGTAATGCCACAAATGTGCCTTCCCAGACCTTAAAATGTAAACTATTTTATTGCAAAAGGGAATCAGATACTACTTCACATCCATTAGGATGGCTACCATTAAAAAAACCAGGAGTGTTGGTGAGACTATGGAGACATTGGAAATGGCCTGTTGTATTGATAATGGGACTGTAAAATGGTGTAACTGTTGTAGAATAATATGGCTGTTCCTATAAAATTAAACATAATTTCTATTTGATCCAATAATGTCACTTCTGTGTATATACACAAAAGAACTAAAAGCAGAAACTTAAGACATTTATACACCAACATTCACAGCAACATTATTTACAACTGCCAAAAGATGAAAACAACCAAAATAGTCATTGATGGATAAATAAACAAAATGTGGTATACACATATAATGGAATATTATTCTGCCTTAAAAAATAAATTCTGACACATGCCAAACATTTATGCACCTAGGGGACATTATGCTAAGTGAAATAAGCCAAAAACAAGAGGACAAATACTCCATAATTTCAATTATGTGAGGTACCTACAACAGTCCAATTCACAGAAACAGAAAGTAGAATAGTGGCTGCCAGAGACTGAGATACAAGAGGAAAGGGGAGTTAGTGTATAATAAGTTGTGATTTGGGAAGATTAAAAAGTTCTGGGGATAGACGGTAGTGATGGTCACACAACAATCAGTGTAAACAGACATAACACCACTAAGCCAAGTGCTTAAAAAAACTTAACATGAGAAGCTGAGCATGACACGCACATCTGTTATTGCAGCGACTTGGAAGGCTGAGGCAGAACTGCAAAGGTGAGGCCAGCATGAGCAACTCAGCAGGATCCTATCTCAAAAATAAAAAGGGCTGGGGATGTAGCTCAGTGCCCCTGGGTTCAATCGCAAGTACCACCAAAAGTAAATAAATAAAAAGTTAAAATTGTAAATTTTATATTATGTATACTTTTACAATTATTAGAAAGGAGAAATCAGATCTAAATGTCAGTTAGCTTTGCATTACACACTTGTAGCATATAATAACTATTCTGGATACATGAGAAATGGTAAAATCTTTTTCTTTTTACAATAACATGGGCAGTTTAAATCAAGTGATACTCCCAAAACCACATAAAAAAGTTTTAAAATCCTCCTATGAATGAAACAAAGTGCAAAATCAAAAGGAGAAGCATAAATCTTCCCAAATTCCCCCAGAGCAGCATCAAAACCAGGTACTGAGACCTCACCCTGGCCTCCACCCTGCTGTCCCATGAGAAGAGTCCTGCCCAGGAGGGGCCTCCTCCATTCCATAGGGTCAGGCTGGCCCCTCAGGCTCAGAATTTGCTAAAAACCAAGAGTTAGGAGGTGTCCTCCACCAGTATGGCCTTGTTCTGAAAAGATAGTGCTGTTGAGGTAACAGTAAGGGCTTTCCCATCTTCAATCAGTTCCTGGACTCATTAGATACTAGCTTATTCCTAGATGTCTCTAATCCTCATTTATATGTAAAATATGCAAAATAGTCTCTTTTCCTCCCACCTGTGAGGAAGATTAAACGGATAATAACAAATGTGAAAGAAACCACTTAGCACAGTGCTCAGCATCTTAAGGTATTCGATAAATATTAGCTGAAAATCATAGCGTTTTATTAGGGTTTTCCCTAAGACACATTTCTAGCGATCACAGTCAGTACAGTCACCGTTTCCTTTATTATTGCCCATTCACTCCTCACCTGCAACTGTCTTCTGCCCGCCTCTCCATTAGAAATGTGCTGGCAGAGGTCACCCACCAATGGCCTTCTGGTGGAAAACCCCAGTGGCAATTCTTCAGGTCCTCTTTTACTAGATCTCCCTGTAGTGGCCACCAACCTGAAAGATGTTATTGGTTTGGTGATCTCTGTTTCCATGACTCCTCCACTACTGTTAGAGTACCCAGAGGCGCCATGGCACAAGAGGGGCACAGGTTCTTATCCTCAGCACCCAGCAAAACCTCTGACATACAGAAGACATCCGATGCGTGGTCAGAGCTCACCTATGACCTGTGATCCCTGTGTCTCACAGGATCCTCGGTCAGGTGGCGCCCTATAGCAAATGCCACCACCTAATCAGGGCTTTCTGGGCTCTTCAGCTCCTGCTATGTCACAGTGGGCGGTGCCTCACTCACCCTCTATCCTCTCGCAGAGCTTGTGCAGACCCTGCAAGGGGCAGGCCTCACACAGCTGGGCTGGTGCCTTCGCTGTCTGCTGCACTGCGGCCACCGTGAAAGCCTGCTTCAGAGTCATCATGATTTCGTCAACCTGATGGAAGAGAAGAGAAATTATAGTCAGCAACAAGTCAATTTCAGATTAGTGGGCTGAAATGTCAGGAAATCTATGGAAGAGACAATAACTTAAGGTTTTTCTGGACTATTCTTCACAGATTAGCAGATAACAATGGTAATAACTGCTAGGCTTACTATCTGAGAAATACTACCTGAAGGCTTAAAGCTCTTAAAGAAGATAAGGTGAAAAAGTAGAAATATAATGAAAATATAAATTAAACACTGAGTAAAAAGCAAATTCTTTTGATCAAAAGTCCAAAATTATTTTTAAAAACGAAATAGTAGCAGAGGGTGAAGGTGAACATATTCTTCAAAAATAATGAAAACTGCAAACCCACGCAAGTCTTAGATGTGTATGTACTGGCAAGTTATCAGTTACTGAGTGAAGAATTAAATAATGATACATCAATGAGGTTATGCAGTTTTGCGGAGGGCAGAAAAACCAGTGAGGTTGAAATTCCTTGTCCATAAGGTGCCAAGGTAAGAAGGGCTCATCCTCTCACCAGAGCTTCATTTGCACACTGGAACACGTAGCAGACAAAATGAAAGCCGCCACCGCCTGAAGACTCCCGGCAGATAAACCCAAAGTGGTCCACATGTCTGATGCCCTGTGGATGGGCGAAGGGGAGAAAGGCAGGGTGAGTTATATCTGGCAGAGACACCACTGCCAGAAATGTAACTTAGGACCCACAATCCCAAAGGAGTACTATAAAATTACTACTTCCGCAAATATTTTAAAAATTTTAAAAAGACCTCTCAGATACAAAGAGCAACATTATCCTACTAAAATGTTAGATTACTTCAAGAGAACTAAGGTTTGAAAATTCAAGTTTTAATGCTCATTTCAGCACTAAAAGGAAACAGAGAAAGTTGACCGAAAAAAATAGTATTTTTTCTAGGCATTACAGAATTTAAAACTATGTGAAAGATCAAAGACAGATCAGAGATAAATGAAGAAATACATCTGTACATATGTGAACATACATGCATGTACCCAAACTCAGACACACAAAGGCCAAAAAAATACTCAAAACATATTTGTTCTCTTAAAATAACAAACAGACGAATACTAAAGTAGAATGCTATGGACAATGAGTAAAAAATTATAAATATACAAAGCAGAGATGCTTTTAAACATAAGATACAAGGCCAAGTCTTTGGCATAGGTTCCTAAAAGCTCTTTAAAACACTAATATGTAAACGTGTTTGGAAACCATCAGCTAACAGAAGTAACCCCAGTACAGATAAAGCCTCTCCTACAAACACTAACACACTGAGGTCTTCTGAAAGCGCCAGCATGAGAGCTGACAGCTGGAAGTTTGAGTAATCATAAACTTGCAAACTGTGCTAGTTAGGAAATAATAACTATCACATTAAAAAACCAAATATTTAACATGAATATTTCCAAACACATAGATGAAAATCAAGGTCAACGTTCTGTGGATAATACATTTCCAAGCCAAATATTTTCTAATAAATAATCACTGTCACATTTTGGTATCTCAATTAATGTTTACTTATAGCAAATTAAGCATATGCTAGAGTCTACTGCTTAAGGAGAAATAGGATTTAGGAAAATATCTTCTCTGAAAATGGGTCCCTGTTGTATCTGTAAGACAGAATATTACTATTTCTCAAATTTTAAAAGAAAAATCCCTTTTTGAATACTTAAGTAGATCACATAAATCAACAAACACCAAGATTTTTATTATCTTATTATGGAAATTAAAAGTTATAGTTTAAAAAACAGCCAAATGTAACTTTAAGTGATCTCATATTTGTTAGCACAATCCTAAGTAAAACTTCCACAGCTCATAGTTGGCAGATTCCTCCTAAGTCCCTCTGTGAAATTACCTGGTAGATTCTCAATACAGAGAATTTCAAGTAGACACTGCATTCCAGGTAAAGCATCCTCAAAAATAAAGACTATCTAACATATTTTAAGGGAGAAGAAGTAATGATAATTCACACTAAAAAAAGTTACAAATTTTTGTAATGTAGAAATCTGCCAGGTGGGATGGCACAGGCCTGCAATCCCAGCTAATTGAGAGGCCAAATTCAAGGCCAGCCTGGGCAACTTGATGAGATCCTGTCTCAAAATTAAATAAAAAGAGCTGGGGTTGTAGCTCAGGGCACAGAGCCTGCCTAGCATACATGAGGCTCTGGGTTCAATCTCCAGAACTGGAAAAATAAAATGGATTTGTATGTATGTTTAAATATCTGTAAGACATATACAAGCATTCCTGAAAAATACGACTCAGAAAAACTACTACCACTGAGAAAAAGAAAAGTAGATGTATTTTTTTCAGTATGTTGCTAAGAACAAAATCCTTAATTTCAAAATTATATTTATAATTTGCTTTATACTAAAGGAGTAAAAAAATTTAAGATCACACACAAATCAAGTACTTAGAAAACATTCTCTATGTTACACTTGTGGCATGTTGTATAACAGATAGTAACAGAATTAGTTTTAAAAATTCAATTGCAGTTGAAACAATAACCAGTCTCCATTTACCTGAGAGCAAAAGGATATCTCCTTAAAATTTTTCTCCAATGCTATTTTTTTGGTGTCAGGACTGATGAGGTAAACTTCAGATTGGCCGATCTTAAAAGATAAACAAAGAGACTAGTTTCTCGTGCAAGTTGCATTTTAAGTTTATCATACAGACTTTCTCACGTCATGACCTATATAAATACAGGGAAAAGGGGGCATGCTCTTTCAATATTATATACCCTTGTAGAAAATCATGCCCAGGGTTAGATGTCAGGTGACACCAGACAACCACAGCACATTCCCCAGCACAGAGCCAGAGCCTTCTCTGAGGAGAGGGACCACATATCCAAAAGCTAGCAGTGAGGCCTCAGAACCCACGCCCTTTATAAGAAAGTGCACCTGCTACATAAGTGAATAACCCAGAAAACCAGTTTCTCTTTAAACTTTCCAAAACACTTTCTAATGTTTACTTTTGAAACTGTTGCCAAAATAGTCTACCATTTTCAGAGCACACACAACGTGCTGGGCATTCACATACACTGCTACTTACCGAACGTTGAAGTTAGAGCATGAGCATGAATAAACTATGTCTTATTGTCTAGGAACACTGGAAAGACCTCTACCACAGAAGAGTGCTGTATACAGCACCCTCCAGTTAACTGTATGAGGCTGGCCGCCATAGGATACTCCCCAGCTACCTCGGCACCACTGGGCTCTTTTTCCTGTGAGTATCGCTTCCTATCGCTTCAATTTCTCCTGGGGATCAAGCAGTCAGAGGCCACATCACATCCTGAGGCTGGCACTGTAACTTGGAGTCCCTTCTACTCTAAACACTTTGCACCTCGATATGGAATACAAATCAAATATATAAGCTTGCTGGATGGAAACAGGGGTATAGATCAGTTATGCTGTCAATGAGGAGACCCCACAAACATTGCCCCTGTTGTCTGCAGCATTTTACACTAACAAAAGTTTTTGCTCACTATTTCTGCAGTATATTCCAGTCAGTTTTGACTGACAGAGGCTTTTTACTCTCTCTTGTGGAAATCAAATTTGATAAAAATTGACTGTTTTTCCTGGTACCAGGGATTGAACTCAGGACCTTGCACTTGTGAGGCAGGTGGTACAACCAGCTAAATCCCCGGCCCAAAAATTGACATTTTTCACATGCAATATCTTTCTAAATTAGCCTAAACTAGGAGCCGCTCACAGTGCCAAAGAGGTGAGCTTTCCAGGCTGCCATACCACCACCCCCAGTGCTGAAGAGGTGAGCCACATGGGCACCAGCAGCACACACCCCTCACCTGTAATGAGAAGACATCTAAACAAGTCCCAAAAACCAGACTTCCAGATCACCTAAAGCAACCCCAAAGGGAAACGAATTGGAGCAATCTGATACTCAATCACCTGAACTCCCTGAACTGGTTACAAAGGAGGATCTGGAAAAAGTTCAATCAGAAATAATTTCTCAGATAACAGCAGAGATCGTCCCCAAAGTGGAAGACATGATTAATAAATCTAGAGAGGGGCCGTGGATTTAGCTCAGTGGTTCTGGTGCCTGCCTTGCATGCGCAAGGTCCTGAGTTCAATCCCTGGTACCAAAAAAATAAATAAATAAAATAAATCTAGAGAGGACACAGATAAAAAAAATAGAAGAGCTGAGGAACATGATGTAATCCCAACACAGGAAACAAATGGAATCCATAAAACAAAAGCAAACAGATTTCCAGGAAATTAAAAGCTCCACTGAAAGTTTACATAGCAGAATGAGCCAATGTGAGGACCGAATCTCAGATAAAGAACATAAGATTGCAATTAGTGACCAGGGAAAGAAAAATTTCTTTAAAATAGTAAGGGACTATGAGAAATCAATCCAGCAGCTGCTAGATGATGCAAAGAAAAATAACATAAGACTGATCAGAGTCAATGAAGAAACAGGAGAAAGTGCAGATGACATAAAAAACTTTTCACAGAAGTGA